GCTTTAGGCCGTTTTCTGAAAAGAGTCACCAGATTGTGGACAAGAGGAAAGGATTCATCCAAAAGTTTATCACGGAGGAAAAAAAAATGAATTCTTTCTCAATGTTCGTGATAGGGTCATAGGGATGTGCACTGCCACTGGGTGACGTGCTTACTGTTAATCTGTTATTAGCAATATATGTTGAGATGCAGTTAATAGTGAGAAGGTATATGTTGAGATGAGGGTTAATATATACGTTGCTATATGTTTAATTATATTTCAAAATCTGAAAAAGAAAAAGAAAAAGGTGTTTCTGATTTGAACCATAGTCATAAATAATCAAAATTTAACATTGTTACCACTTAAACAATGTGTAACCTTTTAAAAATCTGACATGACTTTATTATTTCTTGACTATTCATAATAAGACCTAGTAGTCGACATTTATCTCTCTTTAGTATAAAAAATGCCCTTACTAAATATGCTCTCCATTTATATTTATCTATCTATGATTTGACCAAGCGATATCTGTATCAAGTTTTAACATCTTCATTTTGGCCCAAATTACAGAGATAGTGACGAAAGAAAAGTGGGAGGTAATATTTTGAAAAAAAAAGTATTAAAACACAAGGGAGTACAGTTAATTTACCTACAATAAATCAGTTACCATTAGATGCAATTCCTAACTTTATACCCATTATTTTTATGTTCTTTTAGTCTTATAAGTATGACTAAGTTTAGTTTTAGTCTTCTAAAAAAATTATTAGTTTTGATCAACATATATTTTTGAAAAATTTAAAATAGTTCTTATCACAATTTATCGGTAACATGAAATGCCACCATGTAAAATCATCTGGACTATTCTCAGGCAATGTTTAAAATGTACGTCACATTATTAGTGAGTAGCATTCTTTTTTTCATACAATAGGGACAATGAATTTTGAAGTTAGTATCTTGTGCAAGTTCAAGGTGATTTCTACCGTGGACTTTCTCATCTTTCAAACTCTTGTTTCTGATCAGGCATCACAACATGCGCGCAAAGGTCCCCAAACATCTTTAAAGACGTAGTTGTGTTTGCATGCAAGCTCGGTCCTAAGGGTTGAGAAAAGGGGCAACTCTCCTAGGCTCATCATTGATAGGGATTCAAAAACAAAAAATACAGTTATAATTTTTTAAACAAAAAATTTATGTTTAATGTTAGCTTTTGTGATACTTTTTACCTTGCATATAATAATAAGTATAGTAGTAGAATAATTTTACAAATTGAGTTCATGTATAGATAATCATATGAATAACAAAGTTTGAAAGCATAACAACTAAACTTATCACTATTCCAATAAGAACACTTAATGAAAAATAACTGAAAAATAAGTCTAACATCATATCTTAAGATATAACTAATAACAAAAAAGAATCAAATCTTAATTACGTTGCGATGTCATATCTTATTAGAATACACCTAATATAATGTTTAAGTCTCGTTACAATATCATAAGCATCATGATGAATCTTATCCATAACAATATACACACAAAACAGATACAAGAATGAGAAGTGAGAAAATATCTCACTCTAACTCATAATGTGAAATATAGTTAAATAGTCACACACACAACATCAAGATATATAACAAAATATAATAATAATAAGATATAACAATAACAATACATAACACTAGCAAGGTATATCATAACACCATCAATCGATGAGTCACATTATAGTTCATCAAACAATTACAAATTCATATATATGATACAATGGACACAAACTTCAATAAATTTTGTGTTTTTCAATAAATTTTAACTAATTAGAGAGAATATATTTTAAAAAGTGTGTTAGCATTTTTCTTTTTATTTTTTCTTCTCTTGTTCAATTTTTAATTAATTAACCACAAATTCTAAATTTTTAACGGAGTAAACATTTAGTCTTTTTTAAAACATTAAAGAAACTTTCATTATTTTTTAGTTGGATAACTTCATGGATTATTAATAGAACAAAAAAAACATATAAGAGATATATGCAAGTTCTTTTTTTCTTTTTTCACATACCACATACAATTACAAATATATTTTTCATTTAAGGTAATGTTATTTGAGTCTAATAGGATCATTATGAGCGACAAAGTCTTATCTTTGAATATTTAATGTAGTTGCATAACTAAAACTCAAACTCGAGATTATTATATAAGATAGAATATCTCACACTAGTTAATGTACACATTCAATGGTATATATCGTTTATTGTAACCACACTAAAAAGATATCTATTTCTTTTCTTTTTCGTTTTGTCATGATACATTTGCTATGTGGAATGTCTCTTATTGAGTTTGGTTTTAATATAACTCTCTTTTTAATGATTCTTAACCTTATTCTCATGACTACAATAAGAACAACTTAGATCTTAAATACGGGCATATAACTTGCCTGCATTATTTAACTAAAAGGTCAGGTTTAGTTTTTTAAAAGTGGAGTAAGTTCACCAAAACTTATTCTTGGAGTATGGGAATTTCTTCCTTCTCTTTATGTATACACACATACATATGTGTGTGTGTTTTGGAGATGTTTTCTAAGGAAAGTGTAGACGTGTGAAAACGTGAAAGAGATATACAAAGAGAAATGAAAAATCTATCATTGAAATTTAGGGGTTTTGAGAACAACAAAGGTTACTCTAGTGGAATCAACTCCTCCATGGACCATGGATGTAAGTCACATTAACTGAAACACGTAAATCTGTAGATAATTTCTACCATGGACTATCAACTCATGTGGTGCATCTATTGGGTATCAATACTAGCTTTCCATCATATGATTTGTCCTATTGGGTGTCGATAACAGTAGTTGATGCTTGATACCATTTTCAAAAAATCAAAGTTAATGAAGAAAAAATAAAGGACTAAAACTAAATTTAACTATATGAAAACTAAAAGTATATTTTTATTTGTTTTTAATTTTATAATTTATTCACTTTCAATAAATATATGATGACTAGGCTTGAGCATCGGGTGATTTTGGACGAGTTCGGGTGAAAAAAATGTCCAATTGACGCACAATATTTACATCAATTCTAATCGTATGATCTCCGAGTTTTGGCAGGTCTCAAATTAGTTAACCGCAAAATATACTCGTGGATACACATTAGTTGGTGGCAGTAGGACCATACATTCAGACTTGCATGACAACATTATGCACCAATCTTATCATCTAAAATGTCGATGAGGAGCGATGAGGTTCAACAATGGTAGATACTAAAAAAGAAGAAAAACAAGAACAAAAAAGAAGATAGAATGAACTTGCACATCACCATATAATAAAAGTAATGTTTGCCTTTTCAATTTCCCATTTCTTGACCCCTCCCTACAAGTAACTCACATGGGAAAAGAAATAGTGTAGTGTGATGTACTCATTGCTCAATGCTTGCTGGAACAATTTTAAACTTTTATAATTATAGGAGAAGGCAAAAAAAGCCCTCTATATAGGAAAAAGTCTTTACTCGGTCGGGTGTATGTATGAACGGGATTTTTATTTCAACCCACACCCATCCAAACAAATTCAAATTAAATCGCATTTATAACCCAAAAAACAAAAGGAAATCACACTGCTTGAGAATTATTGATGGTAATATTATACTCAACTTCTATATTAAGTTGAGTTGAAAATGTTTGTGCACGTGTAAGGACGCATCTAATAAAATCAAAGCAAAAAAATTATATTCTTACCAAAATATTGATACAATACTTCTTACAAATAAGAGAAATAGTTAGAAAACAGTGAGTAATGCGGATAATGTGATAAGGAGTAAGACACAAAAATATTATTATTATTATTATTATTATTATATTTATATATATATATAAATATAATTAATTACAAAAAGAAATCATTATGAACTAGCTTTAGAACTTGGAGACAACATCGTCAAATTAGTCTTACGGCCACTCACGGGTTTTACTGTTACAATTGTTTCAAAATCTTAAAGCATAGGTTCATAGTTTTCCAGAAAATTTACTGTACAACTAAAAAGATCATTCTAAAAATATAAATGAACGAGGTATACCAGATGCATAGTAACAGATATTAACTTAATATTAATAAATATTATCCTATATATATATATATATATATGTATGTATGTATAGGGGATTGCTGACATACTCCCACCTATTTTTTAGTTGGAATATGTTAACAATCTATACCAAAATTCTAGGACAAGCAAATTATTCATTTTTTTTTATTTGGTTAATTTATATAAAGGATATATTATAATAATTTAATTTAATTTTAAAAGAAAATAAAACATTTCCTCTCTCTTATTAACTTCATTCTTCAACTCATTTCTCTCTTTTATGTGAGGAGGGATCCGTTTATTCCAGGAATAAGTTTACCTAGATTTACTCCTTTCAATAACTTATATTCTACATCAAATTTCAACGATCTAAATCCAACCATTGAATTTAAAGTTCTTAATGCATAGATCAAATCTATAAATTTTAAAAAAATTTGAAAATCATTAATTTGATATTTCATTTCATTAATTCAAATTGGCGAATAATCATAAAACATGTTACCCGTCAATTTTAATTAATGAAATAAAATATCAAATAATTTTAAAATTTTTTAAAAATTTACAAATTTGATTTATACATTAAGAACTTTAAATTCAACGGTTCGATCATTGAGATTTGATATTTCACAATGTGTAACATTTAGTTGATAAATTTACTTAATTTTTTTGAGCGACCTAAATACTAATTTGAGTTTTAATCACTTAAAGAATACTCAAGAACATTGATCACAAGTCAATTTCCCCACGTTTAGATTAGAGAACACACTTTTATTCTCATTCAACTCTCTTTTAAAATTACATGGTGCAAATTTGCACGATCCAACTAGTCTATACGATGTCAACAAAGTATATCCACATTTTGATTAGAACAATTGCATACAAAAAGTTGTTATTCCAACACCATAGGCCAAAATATAGTCATGGCGTCAAAACAAATTCAAACACAAAATTAGCCGCGGTCATTAATCTCATTCGAGCTTATATTCCAGCTTCAACAATCGCAAAGGTTCACTAACAATAATAATTCACTTCAATCTACTACTCAAATTATTTTATTAAAAAAATGATGATATGCGGTGGGGCACATCAAAGTACTTAAAACGAGGTCTATAAAAATGGATACAATGCCATAAGGGTCTTCAATATGCAAGGTAAATCCCGAAGGGTGTGACTACCTAACTCCGAAACAAGTTGAAAATGTTTCGGAGCTTTATTGAGTTTATTTTGCTCCCCTGGACAAGACTACTTCTGAGGTGTTTGTGTCCAAGGACAAAAATTTGGTCACTTGAGTAATTGAATAATCTAGGATGATTTTGTAACCTCATGGATAGCGTCAGCAACATATCCGACGTTGCCCGTATTAAGACCAGCCATACTGCAATAATCACATATATGATGAGTAAGAAACAGTAAAGTCCCATCTTCATCTCTAGAATGTTAGGAAAATGGAAGTGGAAAGAAACTGATTATTGAGTGTATTACCTGATACGACCATTACGGGTCATGTAAATATGAAACTCGCTTGTCATACGATCAACCTGTTCCGGTGTCAATCCACTGTAGCAGAACATACCAATCTGCAAAAGTAACAAAAACATGTGAGTAAAATAGTCAACCAGCTTGTAGTTCAAATGTCACCAATACTTGGGAATGAAAATGATGTTGGAAGTTTAATCCTAAATTCTTCACTTGCTTCCACTCCAATGTAACGAGGAAAAAAGGATAAAAGAAAACTCAAGGCACGAAACTAAGCAAAGAAAAAGAAGACAGAGGCTGAAACATTTGTGCACTGAACAAGTTCAACCGGACCTGATTGGTTATGTGCTGCCATGACAAAGGAGACCCCCTCTTTTCCAAGTTCTCTCGTAGTGTGGTTCGCATTCCGATGATGCGGTCTGCCATAACCTGTAAAGATACTAACAATGTAAGTCCAATTTCAATCTATTACCACAACTTCTTGATGTTTGTAAATTTGTACTGATGATTTATTTAAATTAAATAATATTGTCCTTACTACAAAAGGATGGATTTTACTCATGATGTAGCATCATACTGAAATTGCATCCTTATGAAGGTTATGTTCAGTCAACGACAATCCAACAAAGTAACATATTATATGATATAGGATTTGTAAACTTCAACAAAACCTTGTCCAGTGCATTCAAAATTAGAATTACTATGTAGCTGTAGTTCTATCGCCCTATTCATTATTGGGAATCCAGGCCTGTTCCATATCAAGACCTCTATTCCTTAGGTCAGGAATAACGGCCTTGTTACTATCTTAATCAACTAATTGCAAGGTAAGACGAATGAAAACACGGCACTCTACCTTGACTTCTTTAAGCCATAACTTCTTCAACTCTGGATCACCAAGGACAGTAGAAACTATAAGCGCTCCATGGAGAGGTGGGTTACTGTACATGGGTCTAGCAATCAGCTGCAACTGACTTTTTACGGCCACAGCTTGTTTCTCATCTTCACAAAGCAAGCTGCAGAAACTCAAAATCATGAGCACATGTCTTTGCAGAATAATTCACATTTCACAGTCAAGTCAGAAGTTGTGTAAAGCTGCCTAAGGTTTCAAACTTAGGAATTTCCATTGTTCAAACATAGATTAGAAAGAATGTCCAATAAAAGTCGTTCAAAGTCTTGAAAAAATAATTCAAATTTCAAATAAATTGAGTAAGTGGAAATTTAAGGAGTTATTTTAGGAATTTGTAATTTTAAGGATATTATTTAAATTTACAGATTTTTATTTGTTTTGATATCTTTTAGGGATTTGTTTCCTATTTTTTTAATTAGGATGATTATATGATTCAAACTTTGTATTACAATTCTGCTCTAAATACAGAGAACTAAGAAATAAAATCTATACATATTCCATTTAAGATCTTTAGATGTGTGGATAATTTTATTGTGTGAGGAGTTTTTCCCATCACAAAGCATTTAAAATAATTGTTTTCAGTTCTTGCATTTTAATTGTTGTTATTTTAGTGTTGTTGAAAGACCAATATTGGGAGAAATGGTGTGTTATGCTACGCAAGTGTTCAAGTATTTATTTGTTGTTTACAATAAAATAGAGAGTAAACTCAGTTGACAAAAAAATAATCTCTAGCCTAATAAATTAACCATCAATAATCAGTGATTAATTATTCTAATCTAACTGTCTTAACAATTATATATTATAAAATATATTAAAAAATTCTAATATTCTAGTAGAAAATGTTCGTATCCTAATAAGTCTCCCGTTATTTCTGTTGCTTCATCTAGAGATAAATTGAAGCCATCTGCAGATACAGATGATTATAATAATCACTATTAGAATGTTGGAATTCAGAACTCCTGCTGTCCTGCACTATTATACCCTCAATACACAGACCTTATGATATAGGTATGAGGTATCAAAATCAACATTCATGCGGGTTATCTACATCCAATGTATTAGGAGAATCATCAAGGTCCAACATATGTCACTCCCCAACCACAAGAAATGCCACTGAAGAGCCTATACATAGCATTCTGCTCCAGAGTTAAAGAGTAAAATAGTCTACTTACCTCAGGCATCCTGCTCGCTGACCATACAGTCCCATATTTTTTGCATATGACTGAGCAAGTCCTATTAAATGACCATCGTCGAGAAAAATCCTGATGGCTTTTGCATCTCTCTCTGGATCACCACTTGCAAAACCTTGATATGCCATGTCAAAGAAAGGGAAATGACCCTTGGCCTGGAAACAGTCATTACAATTTCCAAGAAAAGAAGTCAAGAACTGAAACAAGAATAACAAAATCCCATGATTTTATATATTATTCCACAAGTTTTTACCTTTATCTGCGAAGAGATCTCTCTCCATTGTTCTTCTGTAGGATCTACTCCAGTAGGATTATGGGCACAAGCATGAAGCAAGAAGAAGGAACCATCTGGAGCATTCTGTATATGTAATAATTAAGTAAGAAGAGAATGGAGTATTAGCAAAGATTCATAATAGACCTACAAAGCAAGTCTAAGAAATGTTGCGAATGAGAGCAATATACCTTTATGTCATCCATCAGTCCTGCAAAATCCAATCCTCTAGACTCAGGATAATAGTAACGGAAAGTCTTCATAGGCACTCCAGCATCTCTCCAAATGTTATGGTGGCTGTAATTTCTCACATTAAAAATAAATATCCAGCCAACTGAAGGCTCATAAAGTTGAAAGGTATATTAAGAGGAAGATTTGTCATAAATACTTACTTGGCCCAGGTAGGCACTGGTATATAGATTTGGGTATTAGGATGAAATCTCTGTTGAAATGCAGCAAAAAGTCGACATGCACCAGTCCCAGATAAAGCCTGCACTGCAGCTATTCTTTTATCCTTGATGAACTCAGAGTTGTCTCCATAAGCCAACTTCAGTGATTCTTCTACCATTTTTATGCTTCCACCAATAGGAAGATACTCCCTGGCCAAACATTTGCGTCAGTGCAAAGTAATAGCTAAATGCAGTAAATTAGTACAAGCATGTGATAAGCTGAAATCGTATGAACTGACAGATAAGACCGTTGTTTTATTGCTAGTGTAATAAAGATATTGAAGAAGAAAAAAATAAAACTGTTTCTGGAGAATGTCACTAGGTGCTTAGCTCTGTTTTCTTTAGAAGCTTGTCCTGGAATGCAAAATCTGATGTAACATGTAGTTCTATGAACCCTGAGAATTCAAGTGTTATTTATTTATTGCATGAATTACTTTTTAAAAAAATGCTACCATCATCAACTGCCACTTTAACAATATATTCAGGTTATGTGGCACTTAATTTTTTACTTTCAGAATTATTTAGACAACAGATTAAGCCTTCATTCAAATATAAAGGTTTAGGGTATGTTTGGATAAAAACTTCTCTAAAAACAATTACAAAAAAAATAGGAAGGAAAATCTCAATAAGCTAAAATTAGTTTATGCATAAATTAAAAGTATGATTTTAAAGAAACTAAAAGGAAAGAACTTCTAGAAATTAATTCATGCATAAACTAATTTTAGTTTATGAAAAAAAAATTGTTTTATTTTTTCTTCTTATTTTTCTCTTTTAAAAGTATTTTTTGGAGAAATTTATCAAAATTGACTCTTAGTTAAGATGGCTTTAGATGCCAGCAAGACACAGGCCCAATTACTTTTTTATCATCAATTATATGTATCAGGAAAGAAGCATCTAAAAGGATAGAATTCTGTGGCATTTGAACTTTATCACTTTAAAATTTAGACACCATAAATTTAAAAATTTTCAACCACTCCTACATTCTACCTAACTAATTACACCAACATTGTATTTCTAATGTTGCTCATATTAAATTCGACCACTCACATCTACAGATAGCATCTTAATTATAGTCCAGTTTGGCACGTTCTAAAACTGAGGGTGAAAGATTCCAGATGGGGTTTCAAAAAGTTTCCAGCTTTCACACCATAAAAGCAGCAGTATTCCCTACATTATTTTCCCAAAAGACCTAAGAAACTAACTAAACATTGCAAGGAATCGTAATTCCGTATAAAGGGTAAAAAGTGAGTAGTTCTCAAAGGACACATCAAGAACAACTAGTAGCATCACATTCCCAAAACTGCGTTATACAGTCCATACACACCCAAAAAGAAAAATCATCTAGTGGGTGAACTTTACTTGAAGACCACAAATTGACACATTGAAGCAATTATAATTTGCATTCACACAAGTGTAGACAATCGTTAATAAGAAATGAATAGATAATATTTTTTAATTAAAAATCACAGTAAAAACATATTAAAAATCTAATCTAACAAAGCATATATTAATAATACCTTCTCAAAAAGATTTTTTTTTTTAATAGAAAAAGATCACAAAAACAACGATAAAGCTCAAACTTAAAATCTTCTACATATTACTCCAACTTCACCATCATTAGATCGATTCTCTTGATTCTTAACCAGTATTTGAAAACACTTATTAACATTCTCTTTAAATAAAATAAGATAACGCTAAGTGAGTGCCTTGTGAACATTTAATTAAATAATAAAATATTTTTCTCCTTAGGTACCTGTTTTTGGTACATACATTTTTATTTTCTATGTGTAATTCAATAATACAAGAGTTTAATTTTCCTATATTTATAAACTAATTAATTTATATAGTAAACTAACTAAAAATCATCTTACATACAAATTTGAAATAATGATTACAAAATTTAATAATTTTATTATGCATGATAATCTATTATTAGATAATTGACAATAGTGTAAACCGTAAAGTGTATTCTAGTCAAGTTCATTAGAAAAAAATATTTAATGAAAAATAATGCTTAACGCAAACCTAAGAACAAATTAAAAGTATATGTTGAGAGTTTTTTTTTATTAGAAATAAAAAACATGTTTAAATATAAGCTAGAAACACTTCTCAAAGTTTTTTTTATTGGGAATTGGAAATAAAAAAATATTTAATAGTAGATAAACTCTCAAAATTAAATCTAAACTTGTATTCAACTAGATTTAAAAGAGTATTTTTTAGGAAAAAAAAAATTCAAAAATTTTTATATCTGTATTCAAAGAGGCTAAATAACAATAGCAGAGATATATATATTTCACTAACATGAAGTCGTTTCCAGCAATTCTCCTCTCTGCTTCTCTAACACATTCCAAAACCACAGGCTTTCCATTGTCATCGCGATACGCACCCTTCGTACATGAAAAATTGAAAAATTAAGTCAATAAATAAATTTCACAAAAACGTGAATCTGAATTTGAACATGCACTAAATATGTTTTCAAAAATTACATTCAAGACTACTTTCCGTTGCCTACAAAATGCGCGAATAGTAATTCTGAAAACAAAACTAATCCAACAAAAAGAGATAACAGTAAATTGGTAATCGCTCTGTGACGAATATAACAGTGCTGCTTATGTGATCTGATCGGATTGGATTCGCTCACTTCAATAGATTCAGTTTTGCGAGAAGAGAAAAGAGCGCGAAAATTGATGGAAAAGGAGAGAGAACTGACCACTCCGACGTTGACCTTGTTTGGACTCTGATCGGCGAGGAAAGCTTCGGTGACTCCGAGGATCGGGTCCTTGGGAGCGGGCTCGATGCTCCGGAACCAGGAGGAGATGGACCTAACTCCGGCGACGGTGCTCCGGCGGAGAATTGGAGCGGTGAGCGAGTTAGGAATCGGCATGAGTGAGTGAGGCGGAAACAGGGGAGACAGAGGAAACGGTGAGTGTCATGTCTTACCGTTGAATGTTTATATATATTCATATATTCAATGCTAATGCCAGTGGGTCCCTCTCACCTATTGCTCTACCATTTATACATTGTCAAATCAATTTCCAAAATATTAAATAAGTATTTAGTTTTAATTATTTATTATTATTTTATCTCTAAACATATTATTTTAATTATACATTTCTACTACTCTTATAATTATAAGTAATATAAGATAAATTATTAAAATTTAAAAAAGTAATTAATATGATTATTATTAATTATTTTTACTATTAATTCAAATGTATAAAAAATATAATTAATAATAATGAAAAGATATAAAAGAAATTTAATCCTATTTAAAATGTATTATTGTTTAAAATTTATAAAATTCACATTTCTTTTAATTTTATTATGAATCTCTATCTTGATCTTATATTTTTAATAAATTTTAGCATGCATGTTATTAAAAGGAGTTAAATAAACTTTTAACCCCTCAAATTTGTAAGAATTTAATTTTTAGTTCTTGTTAAATTTTTTACCAAATTTTAAATTTTTATTATTTTTTTTCATATAAATTAGTTTTTAGGATGAAATTTTTTCTATTAAGTGATGATGTATACTAATAAGTCATGAATAATTATATTATTGTGACCGCATAATAGATACTAAATATATGATACATATTATATGATTTGATATCTAGGTGAACATTAATAATCTTATCAATTATTAATATATATTATTATTTAATAGAAAAAACTTAATCACAATAATTATTTTATGTGACAAAAATTAATGAAAAATTAAAAATTAAAAATAAATAAATTAATAACAACTAGAAATCAACTTCTTAAAATATTGAAATACTATGAACTTATTTAACCCTACAAAATGTATTGCTAATCTTTTTTAACAACATGCCAATAGTCTAAAAAAAACAATATTCATTCATAATGATGGGAAGAGAATGCATATAATTTTAAATTTAAATATTAGTGTTGTCATTGTAATTCTAGATAAAAAAAATCTCAAATTTAATATTATATTAAATATTTAAACAATAAAATTTTGTCTTCTCCTATAGAAGATGCATGCGGTTCTGTTGATAAATAAAAAATATTATTAATATAAAGTTTAAATTTATTATTATAAAAGTAACATATTTATTATTATAACAATTTATAATTAAAAAATATATATCCTTTATATTATCATTATATAATATTATTTTTATAATAATTGTTAGAACTATTATAGCAATATACTTTTCCTTTAAGTCAACATAGTTGTATATCTAAAATTTAAACTCAAGCTGGAAATCAGTGATTCAGACAAAAATAAACCTTAAAATCTAAACACTAAATAAATTTATACAAATTGAGTTAGGTGCTTGTCCATTGTCCAATTATTATACTTCGCTTAAAAATTATAACTATTACAAAAATAGAAAAGATTAAATGTATTTTTAGTCAACTAAATTGAAAGATAACTTATTTATAGTTTCTAAATTTTAAAATTATTTTTTTTAAATTTTTATAATTTTTAAAAATATTATTTTAATCTCTTAAGTCACTAATAACATATTTAAAGATGATAAATTGAGACAATTATATAATATCAGTTAAATTTAATGTGATATTTTTACTAACAAAGATACTGATAGGTATATTTTATAAGATGATTATTTAAAATAAATATGATTAAAGATATCTTAATAAATATAATATATATCTTATATAAAATTTTTAAAACATTAAATATATTTAATTATTTTTTAATTAGTGTGAAATTAACTTTAAATTTATACAGAGGGAGTAAATTTTTTTTATTGATGTACCGTATATGTCTCGTTTTTTACACGGAATTATACTATTATATAAGTCTGATCAAACAAAACTATTATTATAATTTAGTACTTGTATTTTTTATGATTATAATTTGACCCATGGTTGAAGCCAATCGTTTTCACTGTGATTTTATTGCATCAAGATTCTAGCAAATGATGAAGTAATTGCAACGTTATACTGATTTAAGAGTGCGTTTACGTCAACACAGTACAGACGCATTATTTTATATTATATCGTTTTCAATGTTCCATTATAATTCATCCATCTAATTTTTTATATACTTCAGTTAGAACTGTCGCATGTATTAGACGTGACATAAATTGATTTCTGAAAAGCTTAAATTAACATTTTATTTCTTATAAAATATTAATTTAATGTTCCTATATCTGATCGCGAAGGTTAATTTTTCAAATTCAAAATTAAAATTCTTCTCATTATGTTTCTTTATACAAAAACTATTAAATAGAATTAAAATTTAAATTTTAAAGTATTTTTTTAATATAATCGTATTAATCAGTTATTTATATATAATTGGTTAATGAAGATTAAGATAATACTTATAATATTTTAAATTTAAATATTTATTGATAAAAAATAATAATATTTTAAGTTTATACTTATAATATATATAATACTTTTTATTGGTGTATCAAAATTCACAAGAGTGTAGTAGCTCTTTAAAAAACTCGTAGATTAAGATACATACAAATTAGATAATAAAAGGGTCAAAATTAAATCAATCTCTACAAATTATTCATTAAAATGTAATATTATTTTTGCATTGTATTAGGCTGAGGCCCATTTGACCCAATCACATGTGCATGAACCCATGTCTCTTCCTTGTTTGACAACTATATTTTTATCCATACTATGTCTTTTTTTTCTTTTTTTTTATGTGCATATTCTGTTTATCATTTTATCTTTTAACTTTCAAAAAATTATCTTTTTCATACTTTTTTATTTTTTTTTATTTTTTATTTTATAATTTTTTTAAAATATCTCACACTCTTTAAATAAGTATTTAAAAACATTCACATTTTCTAATTGATGATTACTTATATATATTTAACATCAATTATTTATTTTTATTTTTATTTTTTTTTACATAAAATACACAGATAAATAAAGTTATTTTTTTTTACTTTAGTATCTATAATCTATAACCTAAAATATATATAAAGACAATACTTTGGCTAGGTGTACACAATTTATTGGATAATTTTGTCCTTATAACAATTTTCAAACTACTTTCTCACATTATGTTTCTTAATTTCATAGTATTTTTTTTTAAGTAATAGAAGTATGTAGTGTCTCTCTTCCCTAGTTAATATAAAGAAGTTTGGACACAAAAATCTTTGATAAATTAGCTTTTTTTTGTTTGCGTATGATTACTTTTTTTCTTTCAATTTACTCATTCTTTTCCGTTCAAAATAAAGATAATTTGATAATTAAATTATTTACATTTTTTTTTTCTTTTCAAGTAAGTCAAATGAAATTTTGCAATCTACTTCAAAGTAATTAAGCAAAGTTCATAACAGTTTATATTTCCATCCAAGTTGATAGTCCAGGAAAGTAATTATAACTAATTAACATGGAATTTGTATATTCACAAATATTTTGTTAATTTATATTAATTTATCAAGTGTGATTACGTTGAGAACTTATTTGTTTGGACACATTTTTTATTTTTGCATAAAGTAAGGCTAGTAAGACATTTCAAAAATAATGAACATGGACAACTAAATTTGTACTAGTAGCCATGAAAAATGATGATTCCAATAGATAAAAATAAATTTCCTTTAAATTTAAAGATTAAAAATATATTTAAACGTTATTTATTTAAGTTGAGTGTGTTGCATGAAAAGCATTTGACGGTGCTTCCTGGTCTCTAGAAATATTGCCTTTGCTTTTAGCTTACTCTATGTCCGGATCTGAATAATTATTATCGACACTATATTACTATATAATTTTTCATATTATAATCAATTATTATATGATTAAAAGTTTATTGTGATACTAATTACTTTAAAAATTATGCCCAGATCTAGAGTAATTTTTAATTAATGGTATACAATATACATATAATATTTTATGTATTATTTTTGTGTTTAATTTTTTTATCATATTATTTACTATAATTAACAATTTTTCTCTCTCAATTAAAAAATTATTGTACAATAAATTAGACAGGTTGGACTACAAAAAAAGTTAGATTCAAAGTCATTTTGGTCGAACCAAATTTTTTACTAATTCGAAGTGGCTTGACTTGTTAGGGATTGGATAGCTTATGACTAAATTTATTTTATAAATTTTTAATTATTATGATAATAAATGATAAATTTAATCTTATATATATTATTAATGTCCATTTAAAAATCAACATTTTATACTTATTGAGTTTTATTTTTAATTTTTAGTATTTATGTATTGTTACAATTAATATATTTTATTTTACTTCTATTATTATGTATTATATTTTGCTATTTTATAATTAAATAAAAATATATACTTTTATTTTAATTTATAGTGATTAAAGAAATGTTTTATTATCTTATTATATAAAAATCAACTTATTTTAATAATTTTTATTTGTTTAATTTAAAATTGATTGGTTCATGGATTGACTTGTCTGATACGAGATCCATTATGGATTAGACTAGATTAAAATTTTTTTAACCTATTTAAACATACTTAAATGAGTTTGGGTGGTCTAAATTGACAAGTCTAAGTACAATCATGTTAGATAATTAAAAAACAATTGAACAAATTATGAAAATATTTTTTTTCTTCTTCTGTCAGCAGAGCATAGAAAGAAGGGAGAAAAAGAACATGAAAAAAAGAATTGAAAAAAATTAATTCGAGCAACTTCTGATTGGGATTGTAACAGGTGAACGACAAGAATTGCAAGCAAACAAATTGTAGAAAGTAAGAAGAGGGAGGAGAGGAAATTAAGGACCACTTGATTCAAGTTAAACCATGCTCAATGTCACTTTCAACTTGTTCATCTTCTTCACGCTCACGCATGCCTTCCAAATCATAAAAAGAGAAACATGCATGCTATTGGTTGAGCACCACCTTACCACTTTAAAACATACCATAATGGCATAATTTCACACCCCTTTTCTTTTCTTTATATTTTCTCATCACATTACATGCATGTCACGTT